GTTGGCTTACCTGAACAGTCGTTCTCGGGGCACTGCAAGGAGAGTCCAAACCCGCCCGGGGTGTTTATTTCTATTGAACGATGTGACTGTATTGACTGTAACTGATTACAGGACGGTTTCCTTCGTTTTCAAACTGAGCATGCAGAGGCAAAGGGAGGCGTGGTCAACTAAAAACATCACTCAGTCCAAGGGCAGATAGGCTGTGTTAACCCAGCATTGGACTCTCCGAGCAGTGCACTGGAGAAAGACCATTGGCTTACCTGAACGGTCGTTCTCGGGGCACTGCGAGGAGAGTCCAAACCCGCCCGGGGTGTTTATTCTATTGAACGATGTGACTGTATTGACTGTAACTGATTACAGGACGGTTTCCTTCGTTTTCAAACTGAGCATGCAGAGGCAAAGGGAGGCGTGGTCAACTAAAAACATCACTCAGTCCAAGGGCAGATAGGCTGTGTTAACCCAGCATTGGACTCTCCGAGCAGTGCACTGGAGAAAGACCGTTGGCTTACCTGAACGGTCATTCTCGGGGCACTGCGAGGAGAGTCCAAACCCGCCCGGGGTGTTTATTCTATTGAACGATGTGACTGTATTGACTGTAACTGATTACAGGACGGTTTCCTTCGTTTTCAAACTGAGCATGCAGAGGCAAAGGGAGGCGTGGTCAACTAAAAACATCACTCAGTCCAAGGGCAGATAGGCTGTGTTAACCCAGCATTGGACTCTCCGAGCAGTGCACTGGAGAAAACTCTTATGTGTTTAAAGTTGAGAAAGGGAAAAATCCTACTTTAACTTGAATTTTATTAATGTTGAAAAGAGCAATTGTGCTGTCCTGATGAAGAAGCTACTTTGAGAAGTTTCTGACATATGTTCCCAAGCAGATTTTTATTTTCAAATCTAACCTTAGCTATAATACATTAGATTATATTTTATATGTTATTGGGAATAGCATTTATGTCATGATTTATAGGAGTTTGAAATTTCTCTCATTTGCATTCAAAGATATATGATGCTGATACTTACATGCAGATAGTTAAGGCTTTTTGATGGTTAACAAGGTTAGCCTAAGAAGAGTGTAAAGCTTTCTAACATATATCTGATATGTTCTGGTGTTTTTTTAAAAAAAATATCTAAAAGGCTTTTTTGTTTTTGTTTTAACAGTGTCTCTGCAGGGAAAATAATTGGTGCCAGTGTTTTGTTTGTTGGTGGAGGAATAGGTGGAACTATTTTATATGCAAATTATGATCCACGCTTCCGAGAAAATGTAGAGAAGACAATCCCCTATTCCAGCGATTTGTTTGAAATAGTTTTGGGTCCTCTTCCTTCTAGTATTTCAACACCAAAGAAACCAGTAAGGGTTTTTTTTTCTGAAGTAATATATGCTTTGTTTCCCCAATTTTTAGAATTTGGAATGTATTATATATATAATTCAAGAAGCTTCTTCAGGATATAACTTCTTTTCTAGAATGTATAAAGGTTATCTCAAAAAGATTATTTGATTTTGAGAATCCCCTTTAATGAAGTTCTGTTGAAGTTCTGATACTTCAGTTCTGATAGCTTGTCTCAACTTTAGCGTTCAGTTTTTATCCTTGAAAATGAAATTCTTTCTTTGTGAACTTTCATAGCTAAGATGAAATTCATGATGAAGTTATGTCATGTTACTAAGAACTGAGAAAGCAAGAGGGATTTTCTTTTTCTCTCAGTAGGAATGAAGCACATTTAAAAAAATTAAAATTATAGCAAGAAAGTCTACTAACTAATGGAAATAATATTTTTCCCACAGATGCAGTCAGCTCCACTAAATATCTCTTCTATAGCAGAAGTAATGAAAGAATCTAAACAAGCAGTTATGAGATCTCCAAAGAGCAAAACGGATACCACTTCAACTACTACTGAAGAAAAAGAAGGTAAAAATGGACTATTTCCCTAAAGTCCCACTATGCAGCAGTGTCCTATTTATGAAAGATTCAATGTTTGAAACTAGTTCTAATCTATTTTTCTTTGAGAGTATAAACACCTGCGTGTCCTTTTATATTCAGTGCTTGCTGATAACATCTGTATTGAAATATGCCTTAAATATTTTATATATAAAATTATTAAAATGTTAACAGCATTATATAACAAATATAAGAATCACAAATGTTCAGAAAATTATTTATTAATAGTCAAAGAACAAATTAAAAAGGAAATACCTAGAAATTGTTTAGACTAAATAAATTAAGATAAGGAATATATGTAATAGATTGAATAAATTTAATTAAATAAGATAAAGTATTTTATATGTATATACAAAGAATAAGAAAGTAAATAGTATTGGAAATCTTTTTATCTAGGCAATTCTTACAGCAGTTGCCATAAAAGAAAATTTAAAAATATCAGTAGAGATACCTGCTAATATGAAGTGTATAGTTTGGCACTCAATCTAGCAGTAATCCTTATACTCACCAAGAAGGGAGAGCATATTAGAATCAATTTCCAGTATTGAAATAAGAGAAAGTACAAGAGAACATGAATTACTAATTTAACTATTTCTGAGCACATGCAGTTGTGATCTCATTGGGAAATATTTTTAAACTGGCCTTCCACATGTTTGTTAGCAGGTCTTGCTAATCTGAATACGGTACTTTTCAGCATGATAGAGAAAGCTTCTTAAAATAATTAGTAAAACAAAAGGATTGAGATAAAATTCTTTAAGATAATTTGGAACATTAGATAATGTTTGTCAGTTTGTTAATCAAGATCTAAAACATTTTGCTTTATTTTAGAAATAGCTTTCTCCAAACTAGTTGTCATTGGTAATTAGGCTAGTGGGCCATAATTTCCTATGGTTTTTTATAGGAAGAGTTGAATTTTTCTCTAAGAACAAGTAGGACTAGAGATTTGCTTCCAAAATTTAGTCGCAATCAATTTCTCAGGTGGTGGTCTCACATACAAAATAATCATTAGAAGAATCTCTAATTTAAGATAAAATAAAACATTACAATGAATTGATAAGCATGGGACATGATATTTTTATAAAAACAGAATGGAGTAAAATTAGATTACCATAGCTCTATAAAATTTAATTGCTGCTGGAAAGAGTACTACCTATATCTATCTGATTATTACTTTTGAATCCTTTATGCGCAAAATAAAGATTTGCCTGTTTTTTACTTCCATATGGAAAAAGTCTGAAATGCCAAATCTTGGTCTTTAAAGCACTTGGTTTGTTCTATTTATATGCTATTTAGATGGCAATTGGAATATTAAGGAAAAGACTGCCTTTGCATTTCAATAATTCATTTCAAGCATTCCACACTGACAGAGCTTCTTCTCTGCCTCAAATTTTGCTTCCAAAGTCCAGCTTGAAGCAAAGAAAGAGAGGACTGGAGTTTCTGTACATGTTTACAGCACCAATCATTCAATTAGTTCATTGTGATCACAGATCATAACAATATGATATAGAGTACAAAAGAAATGAAATTAGAAAAAGAAGAAAAAGAAAGAACATATTCCAAAAAGCGTATAAAAATATTAAGTTTGAGAGCCATTTTGGTGTAGTAGTTAAGTTAGAGTTAGACTCAGCCCAACCCACCTTATAGGATTTTTGTTGTCAAGAAACTAGGAAGAGGCAGAAGTGTTATGTATGTTCACCTCTTTGAGTTACTTATAAAATGATATGGATGGATGGATGGATGGATGGATGGATGGATGGATGGCAAGAAAGAAGAAGAAAAGAAAACAAAGTTAAGATAAAAATCAGTGCTATTTAAAAGAAAGTTTTGTAAAGATAGTGACCTGGTTATTAACTGTTGGATCACATCCCCGAGAAGATAGTCATTCAGCGTCCAATCCTTTAAGTCTATGTATCATCAATATTTACAGCAGGCTCAGAAGTCGCTCACATAATCTCAGCAACAGGTGAAGCATTGTCAGTACCAGCTCCAGGAATGCAGCAGGAGGAGGAATGCAACAAAAGTCACGTTCAGCAAAAACCTCCTGACTTAGGTATCTTTTGTTTATCTGCAAAATTCTGAAACAAATATAACTATGGAAATTCAGAGCTACACCCATTATATGTGGATTTTAACTATCAAGATTCTTGCCATCTCATTGAGCAAGAATTCCTCGATTGATATATGACTTGTTTAATATTCTGAAGGTTTTGTATAACCTCTTTTAATGTTTTGTTACAGATTGTGCTTGCTTTATTGAGATGCTTAGTGATGTGAAGGTTAATAATTTTGTCCCATATCTAACATATCAATTGGTTTAAGAGGATTAATTTTCATGACAGGCAGAGGTAGATTTTATTTCCTCCCCAAAAGCTAGGTGCGTTTTATAATCCGGAGCATCTTATAGTCCGAAAAATACTGTATCTATATTTACTTGCTCTAAATGTTTTCCACAATTGTTATCAATTAATCAAACTTTTTAAAAAAGCTTTCAGCTGGGAATTACATGTTACCAAATAGTCTTTTTCAAGTGTCAATGTCACTCCCTTGTTTCAAATCTGTTGCTCTATATAGGAGATAAGAAAGTTCTTCAAAGCAGAATAAGGAAATAGAGAGAGGAGCAGGGAAGATATTTTCTGGATATTTTGATCCGAAATTAAAAGAAAGATTGAGAAAGATAATAGCAATAGCAGTTAGACTTATATACCGCTTCATAGGGCTTTCAGCCCTCTCTAAGCAGTTTACAGAGTCAGCATATTGCCCCCAAAGTATCTGGATCCTCATTTTACCCACCTCGGAAAGATGGAAGGCTGAGTCAATCCTGAGCCGGTGAGATTTGAACAGCCGAACTGCAGAACTGCAGTCAACTGAAGTAGCCTGCAGTGCTGCATTTAACCACTGCGCCACCTCGGCTCTTATAAACTCCAAACGTTATGCAAATTGATAAAATACAAAAACCCTGCAGTGAATGTCCAATAAAAATGTAAATCAAGTAAAAAAGCTTTCAGTAGCCAGGAACACCTTGTGATTTTTCTACAAAAAATCAGGAATTAATGAAAACAGCAGAATAAATCAAGGGGAAAAAAGCAAAAATAACAGATTAAAATCTAGCATGGGATTGAAATAAATCAGCATTCAACCAGCCAGTTTTAAAGATAAAAACCAAAGCAAAACAAAAGTGAAGTTAAAACTCAGGCTTGCTTACAAGAATTGTCTGCTCGGAAGAAAAGACAATTGAAAGACTAGTAACCTTCTGACTACTCTTATAGGGAACTGCGGTCTACTGGTCAGCAGCCATTTTGGAAAGGAGCCTCATTATTGGGTTTATTGTTCAGTTTACAGTTGAAGGGTTGAATATCCTAGGATTTTTTGGGGGGAAACTTTAGCAATAAAATACAAAGTTGAGAAAATAAAATCTATAAATATTGTTCTTATAAAGTTTTTTTCTTTTTATTTCTGATAGATTACTTTTCTTGACAATGGTTGCCTCATACTTTTTATTTATTCCTTTAGAAGAACTTAACATGAATGTGACTTGAAATACTCCCCTCCTTCCCTCCCTCCCCCACCCTCTCTCTCTTACTACTTTTGTAACTATTTTTAAATCTCTCTTTAGTGAAATCTTATTGAAAAAGAAATTCTTCTGGTAAATTTGGTAAAAATTCAGGGTATCTGTTACAGTATTTAGATATCATAACGAAATAGATTTAAGATGTACTTTGGTATATTTCTCCCCCTACATCTTGGATGTATACTTTCTTAACTTAATAATGTCTTCTATGAAAATAGACTATAATAAGAAAATCAGTTTCAATACCAATTAGAAAGAATACCATTTACTATTTTATCTAGATAAACAATTGTTCAATTGCAGATAGTATGTAGATAGGATCTTTACCTGAGGTTACTTCATTGATTTCCTCTGACCTTACCAAATTTTTAGTCCAAGTTTCGAAAAAGGAATACATTTATAGATAGACATTATGATAGTATTCATAAAGGTTTTTGTGATCTGCTGCTACTACTAGATATGTGATTATCAGGGATTTGCTTTTTTCCTGTTACCTGTTTTTAGTATGTTTGTTAGATAACTTTTCCTCAGGCAGCCATAATTTCCACTTTCAAATTGTGAATTTATGTTATCAATTTTGGAGTTGAAGATACAAACAGAGTTTCATTTTGGCACTAGTGACTAACTGATCAACTGATTGAGATATTTCAATCCTCACTATGAAAACACAGGCCTGAATTTTATTTTAGAACTAGAAGAACCATCAAAAAAGCAATTCCTGTTTCTTTAGTCAGGTGTTACAAGACATGGGAAATTTTCCATACTTCTTCTGAATTCTCCAAAGTTCAATGCATAGATTTTACTGTTGTCTCCTCAGATCCAGAGTAGTCTTAAATGCTGTAATGTGTCTTCATACTATTTTGAGGGTGAGCAGAAATGTGGATCTCAGTTGTTCATGCTATAATTTATATAATTCAGTCATCAAACATTCATTCGTAATTGGTTTAAGACAAAGTATTGGGAGGACATTTAATATACCTGCAAAATACTTTCCAAGCACACAAACCATTATAGAAATCTAACACACAAGTCACTTTCTTAAAAATAAGGTGTGCTTAATCTTGGTTTTCCTTTCAGTATTTGCTTTAAAATATCTATACCTAGGTAAAGGACATCGACATGGTGATGCTGTTGTAAAAGAAAGGCCACCTGAAGAGGTTGCAGCTCGTCTAGCACAACAAGAAAAAGAAGAACAAGATAAAATTAAGGGTATGTGGGTAAATATTATGGCTGCTTTTATACAACTTCAAAAACATGATTTTAATTTCAATAGCTCTAAAATAAATTTTAATGGAATTGTTGATTTTTACCCCCTGAAAAGATAATTAATTTATGTAGTTCATATTCATTTTACAACATTTAAAGATATTCTGATTAAAAATAGATTTATTGATTATTTTAATATATACTTTATTTGGTTTAATTTTTATTGCTTCTTATGAGATGGCAAAGTTGTGTGCCAAAATATGATTTGGAAGCATTGACTAGTATGTAGAAGTACTCCATAAATACAAAACCATGATGAGTGAATCTGGAACTTTAGTGGTTTAACGTACCATATTTTCAGAGTATAAGACGCACCTTTTTGCCTCAAAAAAAGAGGATGAAAATCTGGGTGCATCTTATACACTGAATGAAGCATTTTTTTGCTTTCCAAAGCCCCGTCCTTTCACCAAAATGATCGTGCATAGCCTTATGGAGGCTTTTAGAAAGCTCCTGGGGGCTGGGGGAGGCAGAAATGAGCAAAAAAGGCCCATTTTTTGCCCCCCCCCCCAGCAGCACTCTCTAAGCTTTCTAAAGGCTATTCATGCAATTTGTTTCAAGAAAAAAGGGGCTTTTTCTTGCTCATTTCCCCCCCCC